TTACATGTGCGAGTAAGAAAACAAAATATACGGCAGAATGAATTATAAAAGAGAGAATAAAAAACTTTTCCAATATCGTGTAATTCGATAAAATTGATGTACATATTTCTAAATATTTAAAAAATTGTTTGAAATGAAGCATTTTATTAAAAAATTAAAAAATTGAGCTAAGAAATTTGACAGATTTTTTTTTTTTAAAAAAATCAACAGAAATCATGTTATACAAGTTTATTGTGACTGAAAATCCGAGTCATTTTTTATATTTTGGTCATATCAATACTAATAAAGTTGTCTTTGTTAATTATTAAACGTCCTGGTCGAAAATCATTACATAATCAACCTCGAAATATAAATTATGCATATTTTAAATCCGCAACATTCAAGACAATAATTTAGATTTAAAAGGTGTCATTTTTTTTAAAAAAAAAAAAATTTTTTTTAAGACATGCATTAAGGTATTTTTTGAATTATTACTATGGTGGTAATTTTAACAATTTACAATTTATATTATTTATTTTACTTGAAAAGTTCTTTTATTGTGATGATTTTTTTTCTATTTCTTCTCCAATTAGATTTTACATTTTTTATCCATCTTAAAGAATTAGGATTATAATCATTCATTATCCATTAATAAAATTAATTCGTGTAGTATCTCAAAATATTATTCTTTTTCAATATCAAATTAATATCTATCTTGATTATTTATTTGTTTCATCAAATAAATATTGCATATCTAGTTTAACTGATTTAAAAAATTCTTGTAAATTAACATTAAGCGCCAAACTAAATAGGCAAATTCATCATAAATAAATGGATATCTTGTATTTCATAGTAAAAATTAATAATTTTTATCGTAAATTGACCGAAATTATTTCTGAGTCTTTTAATATTAAAAAATAACATTAAATACCTTTTTTAAAATAATTGCATAAACTGGCCCTTTAAGATGTATTAAATACTTGCTATCCAAATCTGTTAAATAGGGCATTCACAATTTAAATTCTTTTCTCCATTTTGCCATTTCACGGAAGACAATTAATATAATCGATCAGTTTGTCAGGGAATAACTTTTATATAAAATATGAATTAAATCAAGTCTTGGATGATTATCATAAAGTCATTAAATAGCGCTTAAATCAATTCAAAAAGGAGATCAGAAATTTCTCTCGGATCAATTTTATAATGATCTGTATTTTTTAGATTTTCGTTGATTTTCGTTTGTTTTGTTTTGTAGTTATATATCGGCGACGACAATTGTTTAAAGGAACTTTTCGGGGTTTTTAGCATTGAAAACAAGCTTTCGTCATGATTTTCTTTATGGTAGCCTTGACAAATTATTATATAGATAAAATACTAATAAAATGTATCACAAGGAGAAAGAAGGAGAAAAAGAATAAAAAATATACCGTAAAATATACTGCAAGTAGACCATCACACAGTTTATTAATCCTCGTGAAGCTGGGTTAAATGAATTATAATAAATAATAATTACAGTACTTAAAATCTCCAAATCATTATAATCTCAAAATTGGAGTTTGCGTAATTCCATGACTCTGATAGCTTAGTCTTTAATGTAAACTGAATTAACTTAGTAAATTATGATGATAGTAAAAATAAATATATCGCTCGTTCAACTTCCTAGATCATAAGATTTACTATGTTCGGAACTTGATTTTAATAGAAGACGACCCATGTATTCCAACTGAATCGTGAACATGATCAATCCAAGAAGCTTTATAAATTTATATACCTTTACTTACCAATAAATTCTACATTTTAATTCGATCAACCCATTCTATGAAACTAAAAAAAATTAATTTGTGTATAATTGATAAAATTGTCAACAATATATTTCCGCTTGAATTAAAGAATTTATTTGCTTTATAAAGTACGGCAAAGTTTATGATTTCTTCAGAAGTTTTTTTTTGGTCAACTGCCGGTCAACGGTCAGACAAAGACAAACCGTTTGACCGACCGATTTTAACTGATCATTTATTATATACCGTATATACATATTATTATCGCAGGATTTAAAATTTACCATTTCTTTGGTAAAAAGTATTTATTAAGCCGAGTATATGATAATTACTTTTTACTTCAATTATATTTTTAAAAACTTCCTTATAATGAATTTGTATATTATCGTGAACTTTTTTTTTAAAAAAAATATAAATCATAATTAAATATCAATTGTATGTATTAACTTAAAATATAAAGAATTCATAGTTACCTAATTAAATTCGAAATCTGTTGGTCAACCAGTCGGTCAGAAGCTTTTGACCGAGCGATATCGGGTATGACCGGTAAACATTAGAATCTTAATCTTCCAATAATTTAATTATTTTATTACTTTGTATAAAAATTATACAATGAGATGTATTAATTAATCTTAAATTTAATTATATTCCCCGTTACTAATCATTGGCCTATGATACTACACATCTATATTTTACTGGATTTACTACCGCGTCGAATTTTACGGGAAAATATCATTACCGGGATGTACTGGAAATTATTTATCAATGAATTATTTAACATTGCACTGTTTTAAATATAATAAAAACTTTGTTAAAATTGTTTATTATAAGTCAAGTCTAATTAAAATACAAAATAACATTTTGAAAATTAAATTCGTTAAATCATTGATAATGCTTTATATTCAGTTCTATTTTTTTATAGTAGCAATATAACATACCACTTGATTTAGATATTTCCGAAATAAATGTAATTGAATTTATATCCCCTCTAAGAATCAGTCATGTCTTTTCAAAAGGTTCAAGCCATTTTTCGTTGTTTTTCTGTATTTTAAGCACGTAAATTAATTTGAAAAATGAAATTGCTTTTTTTAATGATACTTTTTAAATATTTTGGGTTGTAAATATGGGTTATTTAGAAGCGCATTAAATTTTTCATTATTATTTGATTTTCATTTTAATTTTATAGAAGAGGAAATTTTTTTCAAAGAAATCTGTTAGCTAAAAAAATTTTTTAATTTATTGCTAGAGTTAGTAACACATGATATATTACGAAACCTTTTCTTATCATGGGCTTTTATAATATGAAATAACTACTGTATCATTATGAATTCGTTTCAAGAATTCAAAAAACCCATATATTTTATTTGACATTCGAACGAGTTTATGATTTGCAATCGAATTTAATTTGGGAAATATTTAGTAATTCTCAAAGGAAGCTTCTGTATTCAATACATCAATAACTTCTTACAACATAATTGATATTCACATTATTTCAGGCAATTATCTGTTCATGTTTATTTGTAAGCTGCTGATTTTTGATTTTCGTATGAAATATTGCCATTAAAATTTATCTGTAAAAAATCAAAAAAATAAAAATAAAATTAAAAACCACAATTTATTTATGGTTAGAATTTTTTTTTTTAAAAAAAAAAGTGAATATGTTGTTTTCTATAAGTTTATCATGAATATAAAAATCGGTTTAAGAAAGTATATGGTTTGTTACAGAGATAAATAAAACATCTTAATAAAAGAAATTTTATTTTACATCTATTTTATAATAAAAAAATTAAAGAATAATTAAATAGTTTTCCTAGCATTGTTAAATATTATGTAATTTACTTCAATAATCCGTATTTAAATATTATATTCTAATGCTTTTGATGCATAAGGTTCATCTTCCACTTTAATTTTTTTATTGCCTTTATCTATAAAATCATACAGATACATTCAATTATTAAATGATATTATTTTTGATTTTTTTGAATCGTATAAATTTATTGATATTTTATTAGACCGTCATTACCTTCAAATTTTTCGCTTTCAAACTTTCGTTTATCTTTATTTTTTTTTAAAAAAAGGAAAGATTATCAATATTTTTAGCATATTCAAAATGTGTAATTTAACTGGTTGTAAATTAAAATTTTATTTTAATTACCAAATTCCGAAGAAATAGATTGACTTCGTAAACTTCTAACGGATTCTGCGGATTTCATCATGCTATTTAAAGATCTACTCTTATAAAAAGCACCCGGATTGTTTGTTGTTATAGGTCCAATTTCTGATGATTCTACAATAGTTATTTGATTATTATAATTAAGATTTCTAATAATTAAACTTCTACTACTGATGTCACTAGCTGGCCTTTTACTTTGATCAGGATCCCAGCATTCTTTCATTAGCTCAATATAACCTTCAGGTGCGCCTATGTTACCAATTGGAGGACGTAAGCCATCACAAATATCAATAATCAGCTCAGTATCATGAGCACGATCCCAAAAAGGTCTTCTTCCTGTCATCCACTCCCACATAATCATACCAAAACTATAAATATCTGATTTTTTAGTATATTTTTGCCCTTGAAGAACCTCTGGAGCCATATATGGAATAATTCCATAAATTTCATTATCTTCAGCTTCTGTAGCTGATTTACTTAATCCTAAATCACCTATTACAGGATAATTACCATCTATCAAAATATTTCCACTATGAAAATCACGGTGGATAATATTCGTTTTATGAATAGCTGATAGGCCATATGCAATACCATCTAAATGACGTAACTTTGTATCCCAACTAACATTAAAAAAATCTTTAGCTATATAATGGGATAGATCTCCTGTATTACAATAAGACATAATTATCACAAATTCTTTAGTATTAGGATCTTGCGTAATTCCATAATACTCATTAATAATGTTCCTGTTTACTTTAAATTTATAAGATATTTTAAGCTAAAAAAATAAGATTATTAATTCAGTATGTATCATATGTATCATAATAAATAAAAAAGGAAATATAAATATACCTCGTTTAACTCCTTAGAAGTAAAGTTATTAGAATTGTTAAGTTTCTTAAGAGCAACTTCTTTATTAGATATGCGAATATATTTTTTTTCTCTATCAAACCAATAATTTATTGGACCATCAATCCAAGTTGCTTTATAAACTTTACTAAATCCTCCCTCACCAATAAGTTCTATATTTTTGAATTGATCATATCGAACAAACTCCATTCTATTACTATCTTTAAACAAATGAATATGAGTATATTTGATGAAATCATCAATAATTATGTTTCCACTTGATTTAAAGTTTCTTGTATTTGCTTTATAACAAGTACGGCAAAGCTTATGATTTTCTTCAGAGGGTTTTCTTCTTTTTTTACATTCTAAACATTTCTCAAATTTATATTTAGTTTGTTGAATTAATGTGTCATTTTTAATTTGATTCATAATTACTATGAAAATTTTGTTTCAGGTTCAAATAATCTGCCCTATATATTCAAATTGATCATGCATAATTAAATATTCCGAAACTTCTTAAGAGAAGTTTCCGCATTTACTGTTGAAATAGACCTATTCAATTTTTGGTGCAACAAAAAAGGTGGAATCTTATTGGTGATGTTTGTAGTCCTAATGCGTTAATGTCCGAAATGATCATTTCGAATATTCCAATCGGAATTCGCTCGACATATTCAAATTTTTTTTTGTTTCAATAACTAAAATTTTCTTTAATAATGTAAAAGTCAAAACAAACACAGCATGATATTTGCATATAAATGATCATCTTCGCAACGAATTGGTATGTTACTGTACATACAAAATGTAAAAAAAAGGATATAACTTACAAATTTTAAAGGATGTTTAAAAAAAGAAAATTGTTTTGCAACAGCGCATTAATGATATGAAATTGAATTAGAAAGCTACAGTACATTAGTACATTATCAAATAAATAGAACACAATTTTTTGTAACTCGTTTGACTAAAAATACTTATCAATATTCAAAAGAGGGGAATCCACCATAATTAATTCAAAATTTTGCTTGGATTTAATTGAAAAGTTATTTAATATTACCGAAGTGCCAATTCCTCATTACGTTATTATTAATTTACCGATTCATATCCTAATGTTATTAACAATTTCCTCGATTCATAATCATATTAAAAAATATTCTATACTGAACCTTGACTATAATATATTGTGTGAAAATTGTGAAAACATATTTTTGCGAGGTTCAAACTTGTTCAAAATTCTTATTTTAGAGTTCACAAGTTTGTTCACGTGAGTGAACTGCGGTCGTAAAGTATATTAATGCGCAGTTAATATTAGTGCTCCGTAAGGGTCGGGTCGGGTCGGGTGTGAAGCAAACTCGAACTCGAACCCGTTAATATTTACAGGACCCGAATTCGACTCGACCCGATTGTTGTTCGACCCGA